ATGTCCCAGGACAGAGAGCTGAGAAGTTAAGTGGCTCCGAGTTCGCGGAGCTGATGAACCTTGTCTTCTGGGCTTTGTCCTTTCTCTCCATCCTGTTGTTTCCTGCTCCTCGTATCGGCCACAGCGTCTGGTTGATGCCTTCAGGCGGCCCTGTGGGCCCTCTCTTCTCGCCTCGCTGGGATTTGGAGCCAGTCCTGCTGTCCTGTGCCTCCTGGGGGAAGATGTGGAGGTGGGGCTGGGAAGTCAGAGGAAGCTGTGCAGTCCTGGGACCGAGCACAGTGGGTCTGGCCTGGTGGGAGCAGAGCCAGGGACAACAGCCAGAGCTGTAAGGACAGGGAGGTTGTGCAGAGCAGCGGGGATGGCTTCCGGAGCAGCATTTGTTGTGCAGCCTCCGTGGGTTTGAGATAGAAATCACCAATTGGCAAGGTGCCGCCGTGCTCACGGCTCTGGCTCCTGGTGCCAGTGGCCTTTAGCCCGCAGTGCTGTATCCCTGAGTGTGACAGCCTTGGAGGCTCACAGCCCCCTCTGTGACTCTCTAGGACTCTTCTGGCAGCTTCCCTGCTCCTCTGGGTCTCTCTGTAGGTCTCCATCTTGGGCTGCCTGTCCTGCTAGGTGACACCTTTAGTCACCACTGATGGCATGGGTCACATGCTGCCTGTTCCTGCCACTGGCCAGCACTGTTCTTCGTGGCTCACTGCTGGTCCCTAACACTGGTCCCTCAAACTTCTTAGGTCAAGCAGCCCCTAATGATCTGGTTCTTTCTAATACAACCTCTGCCCAAATTAAAAATTACGAGTACATTCACAGGACTCGCTAAGCCCAGGTCACCCAAGACATGAATGACAAGCAGATTAATGGAGCCACCCCCATGAGGCTTTCTTTGGACCTGTTCTGTGCCACTGATTGGGGCTGGATGGTCAGTACTGCAAAGGTGACTGTGGAGGGGGCTCCTGTGCAAACAGCAGCAGCCCGCAGCCACAGCCTCACACACTTTGCAGGTCCATGTCTGGTCCCAGGAGAAGCCTGTCATGGTGCCCTCTGGAACTGGTCTGAGCTCATCTCTGCTGCAGTCGAGACAGACTCCTGGAATCTTGGGAGAAGATGTAGCTCAATCAACAGCCGCTGGGTCTCTGGGAGAATAGTGGTGCTGAGATCAGCCAGCCCCCACTTTCATGGACTGTTCAGGAGGAGGGCTGATCTGTTGATCGGAGCCCACTGGAGTTTGGGGGTTTCAAGGATACTGAGAAGGGCCCCACTGCTCCCCTGATCTCTGTCCTGTCAGGGTGGTTTTGCAGAGTACCGCAGAGAGGCAGCAGCAGTGCCTGGAGCGGGGGCAGGGGTAGGGCCACAGGGCTGTTAGCAAAGCTTCAGCAAGGACGGTGACCACGAAGCAACCCCAAGGGCAGATGAAGATTCCAGGGCTGGTTGTACCAGGCTCCCCCAGGGAGTTGAGGGGCATCAGAGGAGAGTGTGACAGCTGCCGGTCAGAGCGCATCCCCTTGGGCTGGCAGCAGTGCCACTCCTCCGTGTGTTCTCCAAGCACAGGAAGTGCAGGGGTCTAACGGGGGAGGCTCACATGTATTCCCACGAAGGGCACATTCTGAGCCTGCGCATTTGAAGGATCATGGTTCCTATAAAGACCAACAGAGCTGCACAGGTAGAGAACGGGTCAGGCTATGGAGATGGGCAGATTGCTCTAGATCAGCTCGAAGAGGGGGTGCGCCCTGCTTTAACATGCTTCCGTCACCGGTTGCCCAGTCACTGGTTTTCCCAGTTTGCTCAGTTTGGGTTGAAGTCAAGAGGTGCAGCTTGACGTCCAAGGCTGTGGGCTTTGAGCGCTTACGCTCCAGAGAGCCGCTCTTCCATTGCCAGTGCCCTTTGGTTACTGCCCTTGGGGGTGCGGCTCCTGGTTCCCCTCACTAACCCCTCAGCTCCTCAGCGGCTGCACGGCTCGTTGCAGTGGCAGCTCACGGCAGCGTTTTCGTGGCTTCCCTGCCTCTCCGGGCTCCTCCGTGGCCTCTGCAGGTCACTGCAGGGTGCTGGGGTCTGGTCACTCTGGACTCTCGCTGCCCTGTCCAATCTCAGCTCTCAGGGCCCATAGTGTCCTTAGTGGCCCCAGATCTTTCCCAGTGCAACCCCTCACCTGTGCTCCCTGCAGCAAGAATTCTGGCACAGGGGCGTGCCAGGCCAGGACTGCAGCACAGCAGTAGAGCCTGCGAGTGAGCCCTGTCACTCGGCAGAGGGGTACGGGAGAGAGAGAGGGGTCCATGTGCGTGTAATTCCCTGCATCTTGTGGCTCTGCTTTGGGACTTACAAAGCAGTGACCGAGGGAGGCGGGGTTTCCTAGAGAGCTTCCAGGGCAGAGACACGAGCTTCCACCAAGGGATGTATCTCCCTGGGAGCGAGACTGAGGGGGATCCAGGGTGGCCTCAGCTGTCATCACCGTGACAGCTCTGACCAAGGGCAGGAGCAGCAGTTGTTTGATTGACAGCCCCACCCATTTCTATAGAAATGGGGGGGTTCCCGTGAGGGGTGTCCTTGGCCTGTTGGGTCTGGATTTCAGGGATAAAAGCAATGGTCCTGGCCTCTCCCCAAATCACTCCTTACATGCATGAACCTCCCTCCCTCCGAGTCAGCCCTTTAGGCCCCGAATGGATGAGAGACATGGCTTGTGCAAGTGCAGCTGCCTAGGCAGCCTTGGTGGAGGCAGGAGGGCACCAGCGCTGGGTTCCTCAGGTCATGACAGAGGGACGTGTTAGGCAATGTTCTTCTCCCTCAGCATCATCCAGGACAGGCGCCTCTCAGACACCTCACTGACCCTCGTGAGGGCCTTCCTGACCTCAGTCCTTCACTCCTGGTTATCAGGAGTTTTACCCAGCTTGATGACCAAGCACAGCTCATCAGTCCATGAACACGGAGCCTGCAAAGCATGAAGGCAGTGGAGAGCTGGCCTCCCTCCCTGTCCAGCCCCCCTCAGCAGTGTAGGAGGGCGAGCCCAGGATACCGCTGGTGCTCCTGCTACTGTTGGCAACTGAGGAAATTCCTGCACTTTGTAAGAAAAGTTCTCCCCATCAGGGCACCACGATACACACGCAAACAACAGCTTTGCCCCTGGTTAGTGCAAAGCCTGTAAACACAGCCAGGGGACTAAGAATAAGGATCGTTTCAGGCCTAGCAGACCCACAAGTGGGGATGTCTCCCAGAGCAGCATCTGCAGACACAGGAGAAGAGGCTGGGGTCCGGGAGGCTTGCCTACGATCCACTCATCACCGCTGTAGAGAGAGGGCTTTGCTGAGCATGTTCAGTCGAAGGTCACGATGCTTCAGCCAGCTCGTGTTCCAACAGGCTGGGCAGGGTTGCTTCATCGAATGCCAATTTTGGGTTCTTTGCTCCATTATGGTGGAAATCAGGACTGGCACAGTTCAGATCTGCAGTGGCCTGACCCGTCAGGTGCCCTCTGTTAACAAAGGCAGCTGCTGGTCTCTTCTGCCATAGCGTGACGCTGGCTCGTGCTAGATGCCATCAGGAGGCCCTGCTGCTCGCTGCGCTTGGTCACTGCTGGCTGCTGTCTCTGGGTCCCTTCGGGTGCACTGCTCTTTCTGTTAAAGTGATCTATCTGTCCATGCTGCTCCTGAGTAGTCACAGGACTCCTGAGTAGATTTACAAGATCTTTTGACCCCATACAACCCAAGAAATAAATTGTGAGTCTTTACCAGACGCTGTGCTGCAGCGAGGGGGGGTCAGCACACTGCAGGGAGCCCCTAGACTCACCCCAGAATTGTGAGCGTAGCACTGCTTATATGGCATCTGCAGGCCTGTGGCTGGATCATATCCAGGTCTGCTGATTGGCCAGTAGGTTTGGGGATCTAGGACAGCTGAGCTGTCCTGCGGGCAAGGGGTCTGTTTTGTTGACAGCTGTTGTAGTAGAGATCTTGAGACTGTTTGGTTGGCAGCTGGCTCATCTGTTTAAAAATGGCACAATGAAGCCAAGCGGTTGGGGCTCTCGGGCAGGCCTGGCTTTGCTCATTACAGCTTACTGAGACTTGCAGAGAAGCGGGATGGACACTAGGCCCGGACCCCTGATCCGAGCCACAGCGCAGTGCCCATGCCCTGTCTTTAAAAGGCAGCCATGAGGTCTGCGTGCCAGGAACTGAGGACAGGCACCACGCTGACAGCCGAGCTGTACTCATGTCCTAGTGGCCTGGGGGAGACCGGGTCCAGACCACCAGGGAGGACACTGAGGCCAGCGGTCCGGGGCCATTTGGGGGAGAAGTGATAGCTGCTGGCCACACCATGTCCCCTCATGGCACAGGACAGGGAGCCAGGAGCTGCTCCCCCCCAGGGCAGAGGTCTCAGGGCTGCAGTGAGAACCTGGGGAGCAGCGGTGACACCTGGGCCCCTGAGGAGCAGCCGCATGCCGTCACCTGCCCCTGTGTCTCTCAGCATGGACTTCAGATCACAGTCCTGTAGAGGGAGCAGCTTCTATCAGCACTGGTCCGAGGCAGCAGTGCCTAACAGGTCTGTGATGAGCCCTTCAAGCCTGCTGCCCCAGAAGTCCGGCTGTGTCTCGGGAAGGGTTCAATCATCTGCTTCCCCGGGGGGCAGAGTGAGGGGCTCAGGGGCCACCCAGTAATGTGAAGAGAGTAATGGGGCGTGGACGGGACGTTTACACCACAACAGGCCGCTCTGAGTGGGAATTGAGAGGTTAACTTCACAGGAAACACTGAAATAGTCACCGAGAGAGGCTGGGCTGTGAGAGAGACTCATCTGTGCAGAAACACACACTTGTAGGAGCCAGTGAGATGTTTCACTTCTGCCTCCGTGTCTCCTACACTGCAACCCGGCTTCCTCTACAGCAACGGACAGAAGGACGTACAGATACTCCGGACAGTCTTAGGGACCACAGGCGAAGAAAGAACAGACTAGAGGCCCCTGCTGCAGCAAACTTAAAGAAGGATATATAATTACAGTGCATAACTTGACTCGCCAAGAAAAAAGGCTTAGACAGTTGAAATAGGAGTGTATTTTGGTAACAAATAGCTGGGTTTGAGCCACACACAACCAACCAAGCTGCAGCCAGCCCGGCCCCTGGGCCAGACCATCTGCGCCAAGGCAGAACCTTCCCCGAAACGCAGCACGTTATTTCTGCGCTTGATTTCCCTGATCAGCTCGAAAGGATTTCACCCCTCACTGCACAGTACATCTCCAGCCCTCTCCATGGCCAGCCTGCCCACCTGATGCATTGTTCTTTCCTCAAACTGTTGGACTGGTCTGAATTTTTGTCTTTAACACAAGAGAGGCACTGTTGATACCAGAAATGCAAAACACTGCAAACTGCGGTCTTTTTCACAGAACGAGCCGGTGTGACTCACTTGGGTTTTGTTTTTGTTTTTTACATCATTTATTCACTGTTCCTCATTTTCAGTTGCTCCACTGTCCAAAATTTCATTCTTGCCTTTTCCTCCTGCTGAGTCAGGAAGCTTCAGGTCAGCCCCGAGGATGTCACAGGCAACGTGGGGACTTCCCCGGGGACTCTGAACTGTCCTCCGAAAATATGTCTTGGAGCTCTCTTCTGAACCATCTGCTTCTTTTTAATCTGCCTGATTCATCCCAAATAAGCCATCAACCTACAGAAAGTACCAAATGAGAAATCTATTTTAGGGCAGTCCTCAATAAAGTTGTAATAAGATCACACAGGGAACAATTACTGTTCTGCTGACATACGGAAACATGAAGGGCAAAGATGTTTCTCAAAGCCACGCACAGTGGCTCATGCCTACAATCCCAGCTACTCAGGAGGCTGAGGCAGGAAGGTCATAAATTATAGGGCAGCCTTAGCAACTTAGGAAGTGCTGGTCTCAAAATACAATTTCTTTTTTTTAAATACAATTTTAAGCAGAGGGCCGGGACCATCTCACTGGCACGGCATTGGCCAGAGTGCTCAAGCCTCTGGGTTCAGACCCCACATGCGTGGAGGAGAAATGCTTTGGCACAAACTGTCTCTTTTGCCCTTTCAGTGGCCAGGGTCCTGCACAGTGATGTCCTGCATTTGCCAAAGTCAGCACAAGTGTCCTCCAGCCTCATTGTGTACACACAGGTCACACTCACCAGCACTCATGCAGTAGTAACACAAGTCAGGCCCCGCCGTGCTGGGCACTAGAGACCCAACAGCAAAGCAGACAGTACACGATCCTGCCTCCTACAGCTCACAGCTCCGGGTGGAGCCAGCGAGTAGCAGTCTAAGGTCAGACCCCGCCTGCTCTCAGCTTTTGTGAACTAAAATGGTTTTCATCTTTTTAAGTGGTAGAAGCAAATCCAATAATGCTATTTAAGGAGCTGTGGGAACTGCAGGAGCCCACGGTCCTGCAGCCATGAGTGATGACTCCAGATCTGGGGCCGCAGAGGCTCTGCAGGAGACAAGGGCCAACTCGGAGCTGGTGGCAGGACCTTGGCCCTGGGAAGGGACCCCAAGTCCACAAACGTGATGGGAAGGTTCCTGGCTCCAGACGGTGGCCGCACACAGAGAGAGGAAGGAGCAGAAGCTTGGAAACTCCTGCCAGAGGTGGAGGGGAGACCAGGGCTACGGGCAATGGAGCTGTCCGCGAGGCTGAGCCGGGGTCTGTTCTATTGTAACCCCAAATATCCCGTTCAGTCATCCAAATATTGTAATCCCGTTTCTAGTTTTCCTCACAACCCAAAAAGTTATATTTGTAATCTCACTGAGACATCATTGGAATCCCAGCAGGTTAATTCCAATCTACCACCTCCAAAGCAACCCACGGCGAGAGTAAAGACACCGAGACCTGTTCCAGGTTAAGGGCAGCCAAGGGGACCTAAACCCAATCACGTAAGGACATGCAGACAAAGGCCCTGATCCTAGACCTCTCCCAGCATTTATTGTCTTGGAAGAAGGGGGTGGCTCAGGGATGAGTGACGTGAGGATGGCGGGAATCATGTGAGTAACTTGAGCTGGGTGGCCGGATGCAAGGTGGCATCTCTGTAAACTGCAGAGATAAGGATATGCAGAAGGATCAACTTATATAATCCAATTAAGGTAGCAGTGGAATTGTTGGGGGGGGCCTATCTTTTCGCCTCTACCCAGTTGACATTCCTGGAGTTCTAACGTTTTGCAGCTCAATCCTGTATTGTAGAGAACACCATGATGGGAAACAGGACTGTCTGTTGGCTATAGGTTTTGCATATTCACACCTTGGCTGGCCTTATTTGTTTGTTTGTTTGTTTCTTTCTTTCTTTCTTTCTTTTTTTTGTCTTTCTGAGACAGGGTCTCGCTGTGCAGTTCAGGCTGGCCTTGAGCTCACTTTGTAGCCCAGGCTGGTCACCAACTCACAAAGATCCTCCTGCCTCAGCCTCCCGAGTGCTGGGATTACAGGCATGAGCCACTACACCCAGCTGGCAAGCTTTATTTGTAATGCTTAGAGCCAATTGAAGAGAAAAGGAAATATCCTAGCCAGCCTTTTGCATATCAGTATAAAAAAATAAGTCTCCAAGTATTCAAAGTCACAGTAATTGTTTTAGGTTCAAAGGGAGTCACTGGAGCTGTCTCCCACGCGTTCCACAGGCAGGGCTGACTGGATGTGGGTTGGGCGGGAATTCTAGTGCACAGTCAAAACAAGATATGCATCATCTCTGCAGGAAGTTGACGGACCTAACCACACACAGCCTTAACACATGATTTAATGCATCAGACCATGATGACCTGTCTTGGGCTGGAGGGAATGAAGAAGCAGGTAGCCCATTCAAGGCAATCATGCCTCAGGATAGCAGAGGCAGCATGAGATGGACAGCCCTCCTGTGACCCCGTGACTAAATCCCTGTGCCCTACGTGGGAGGCGTGACAAGGCCTTAAGTGCACGGTGACCGCGTCCCTGGACAGAACCCTGAGCTCACGCTACGGAAACCGATCCTCGGAAATAAAGTGGCAAAGCTCTCGCTCTTCTCTGCAGGTGACAAGGACATAATTTCACTGTATTCATTGAAGAGTAAGCGTGGTTGTCCTTTTTAAAACTTTGCTCAAGGCCTGTAATGGTTTCAGTATTGAAAGCAGCATTCCTGGTCTCTTCTGAGCTTTTCATCTGCCTGGCCCACACGTGGGAGTAAGTTCTGAATGTGGTCTCACACCACGGAGAGAAAATGTTGTGTATCAACATTTAGGTTCACAAATCGAAAACCCGTGACTCCTGAAAACACTTCTCTACGAAATAGTAATAATAAGCTTCTCAAGTCTCTTTTGCTTAAAAATCCCAACCCTCTGCTAAGTTCCCAAAGCTGCAGGACTGCACTACACAATTCCAAAATTGATTATTTCCTGCATATATTCTTCTCCGACACTTTCCAGGAACGGTATGAACTCCTGGAAAGTCCACATTCAACACCGGGTAACTGAACACAGACATGTTATGGCTTCATAGTTCAGGGTGCCATTTTAGGGTGTGTTGTGGGACTGATGGGGTGATGAGTGGAATCACCCCACAGCTCCACCACTCACAGTTTGAATTTCTCTGACCAAGTGAATGAAGCACTGGTGGCTGCAGACGGCCCGATACTGTTCCTCTGTCTGAAATCGCCACCCTCTTTCCCGTGCCCTCTGTCCCCTCTTCCACACAAGCCTGCATATTCCAGTTTTGGACCCCGTCATTGGTTCCGTGGCACACACAGTGTCAGTGTGCTCTGGCCAGGCCAATGAGCGATCACACTAGTCACACTAGTCTGTCTGGTGGGCCATGAGGTGTGGCTTGGGGACTAGCTCTGGCCCTCACCCCTTCCTCTCTGTGCTGCCCCTTGCTCTGCTTCCTGGCTGCCATGAACTGAGCAGCTCTGTGCTGCCTCTCCCTTCCGCCACGATGTTCCTGCCCTGGAGCCTGCTGACCATGGACTGAATCCTCAGAAATGGTGAGCACGTTTAATCCTCTCCTCCTTTAGGTTCTGGGCATTGATTATCGTGTCCCAACAGCAGGTGAGTTAACACATCTAAGTATACACCTTCGTAGAATGGGAAACTCAGCCAGGCCTGGTGACACATGCCTGTAATCCCAGCACTTGGGAGGCTGAAGATTGCCATGAGTTTGAGGCCAGCCTGGGCTACACAATGAGACGCTGTCTCAAGGAAAATTCTAAAATGGGTTGTTCCTCGACAGGCACTGTGGTAAGTGGTGGGGAGGAGCATCAATAGAGAAATGATATTTTAATTTTTGTCTCTCCCCAAAGAGGTGCAGACATGTCCGTGTGCGTAAGTTCCAAAGCCCCTGCTACAGCTCCACGGCAGGACCGGATGTCCGGGGATGGCAAAGAAAACAAAATGAGTCCATGTTCACATGAAGCCCCAGAGGAAGCCTGGGATTGGCTAAGTAACGGGGAAACGTTAGCTGTCGGCACCTTCAATCACAAAGGGAAATTATGGATAAAGCGACCAGAGACTCCGAGGCAGTGGCGGTCACACAGTGGGCTGGGTTTGGAATCCGTCCTGCAGGCAAAGCTGACCAGATTGGGGGGATGACTCGACATTAGTACACACAGGCTGGGCTCTGTCCAGCTGCACAGATATAAAGGGAATTCCAGTCTTGAAACAACACTGGACAGTGAAGGGTGGTAACTCTCACATGAAGTTTCTGGACTCAACCATTAACACACCATTTATTTTTATGTACTTAATGAGTCAGGCTATGATTACTTCCTTTGGGGCTTGAATGAATGAAGGGGGTAAAAAGTCAAGGCATTTAGGGAAAATACTGCTTCAAGATAAGATAGGATAAGATAAGATAAGATAAAGATAAAGATAAAGAAAGATAAAGATTAAGATAAAAATAAAGATAAGATAAGAATGTAGTTTGGTTGAAAATCTTTCCCCAGACAGCATATGACTAATCCCTGTGCTCTATCTGGGAAGCGTGTTACGGGTTAAAAACTGATGGTCAGCTTAACACCAGCTGAATTAAATCGGCCTGGTGCTGAAGGTAGATGACCACCGAGGAAAGCTGCCAGCATGAAGGGAGACGTGAAGGGGAAGAGTGTGGTGTGGGGGGTTCTCCTAAGTGTTGCTGTTTGGAGCCATCGGTTCTCCTGGAGGAGCTCCACCAGGCTGGCTCCCCCAATATGGATTCGGCTATTATCATCAGAGGAGCTCAGGACCTTGTTGCTGAGAGTGGCTGCGGTTCACCTTGGGGAGCTCTGCTCCTTACGCATCACTCCCTGACTCCGGACGGGAAGATGTGTGCTGTTTAATCTCCAGGAGAAGCCTGTCACGCTGGCTCCCTGGCATGTACTCGACTGTTCTCATTGTCAGAGGAGCTGGGGACCTCTTTGTCGCTGAGTTTGGCTGTGGTACTTTCCAGGGGACCCTTATTTTGAGTGTTGCTTCTCGGCTCCCCTTAACCTACTGGCACAGCTCCTTCACCCCACTGGCACAAACTTTCTAGCTCCACTGCTGACCTTTGGGCCTTCCCAGTGCAGATCCATGAAACAGACTTGCATGAGTCATTGTCATGGGCTCTAGACTTCCAGCTGGACTTGTGGGAGGCACTATCACGGGCTCTAAATCTTCAGCTGGACTCATGCAGGACATTGTTGTGGGATCCAGGCCATCTGCTGAATTTTCTAGGTCTTTAGTGCTGTGGACAGATTTCCTGCACTTTCTTGTATTTAACTCTGGGTGACCATCATAAAATAGTATTAAAATTCTGTGTCCTGTATATAGTTGTTCTCCTTGTAGCCACTGACCACAATACGTGGTGACTGACAAGTCCTTAACGGCAAGATGACCGTGGACCTGGGCTGTGGTTGGGATTCCTCTCCAGTGGCTAGGGTCTCCCAAGACCCCAGAGAACGAGTGCTTATCCACACCAGCCCGGAAGAATCTGAGGTCCCTGCTCCTTTGACCAGAAATACAAAGAGCCCACGGTTCAATCTGGGACAGTGGCACCCTCACTCTGGCCCGTCACCCACCCGTCTGGGGCAGACGGGCCTCTGACACTCTTGCTTGTCCTGGAAGACTTACAATAAGGGCAAGGCCTAGCCAGTGTCTTTCTTCCACAAGTACACGGGAAGGCTCACCCTGAGCCCCAGCGGGCAGCCCCGGTCTCCGGGTCACACCAGAGAAAGCGATCTCCACAGCATACGCCCTTGTGTGTCCACATCACCTTAGCCGACCCGAGGTGGGTCCTCTAAAGGGCTCCTGTGACATCTCCCCTGCCCCAGGAGCACAGGCTCAGCCTGCCTGGCGCCGGCTCCCCCTGCTGGGCGGCTGTGATCTTGTGCTAAGCCCTGCAGACTCAGCCGCTGGGAAACAGCTGTCACTGCTCAGGGACCTGGTAAAGTATCCCGGCTTGCTCGGAGCCCTCAGGTTTGTTTTGCTGCTTCCTCTCATCCCCGAGAGAGCCTAGATCCTCAGGCTTTCATCTGCCAGAAAACTCAATCCTTTCTTTCTTTTCTTCTGATGCAGTTGTGAGGGACAGGGGTCTAACGTCCCCCATGAGCGGGGCAGGTGTGACCGCTGTTTGACGGCCCACAGCTCTCCAGGAAGGGTGCTGCTTCAGGCCTTCTTAGCTGTCTGCCCCCCTCCTGAGTCCTGGGGCCACTTGGAAGCCCCCACAGGAATATGCTGCTTTAATCCTTCCTCTCTTGCTCCTCCCTCCCACTGGGTTCTGGTTTTATTAGGATACTTTGGGCTCTAGATTGCTATGCAATGTGTAACTGCCAACTGACTTTTCACTGTCAAGTTTCTGGCCCTTTGGTAGCATGAGCTAGCGAGGGTGCAGGGGAGTTGGGGACAGAGGAAGGGACTAGGGAGGGGTGGGGTCCTGTAAAGAGCTCACGTTTTAAAACTAGGTCCTGCCTGGGCTACTGGTGGCAGTGGGGTTCAAAACGCCACTTCTCCTAAGCTCAGAGCAGCTCCGACGGCCTTCTCGAGCAGTGTGGCCTGTCTTCCTGGGGATATGTCCTACCTCCAGGTCTTACACTGCCGTCTGCCGGGATCCTCACCCACAAGACCTTCCACACCTCTGCACGTAAGCAAGCTCCACCTGTCCAGTTTACCATGGTTGAGGGGAAACGTTCCGACCCACAGGCCACTAGCCTTGGCCCAATTACTCATCTCTGTCAACCAGGGTCCCCAAGAGGTAACTGTGCACAGGAAATTATCAGGTTTTTATTGAGGGAAAGCATACTACCATGTTAGGTGATTTCATACCTGGCTTGAGATGTCCAGCCTATAGGGAATCCGGCTCCAGACCCATCATCCTGGAGACAGTGGACAGGGGGTAAGATCCAAAGGTCCCATTGAAGCAGCACTGGTGCCTGCACAAGGCCAGAGATGTCCAGCATGCTAGGATTTTGGTTTTACCAGGGGATGCCCCAGGGAAACAGACCAGGGACTGACCCAGGGAACACACTAAAAGGTTGCCTTGACCTAATCCCAAGGAGCTTGGCTTTACTGGAGGCACCCTGGGGCCAAAGGGCTGGAGAACCTACCCAAGGGATGCCCTGCAAGGTTGCCGTGACCTCATTTACTCCTCCTGCCCACAGACCCATCATGGGGCACACATCTTCCATCCCACCTGACTCCCTGTTTGTAAGAGGCGGGGAAAAATGGTCAGGAGTGTCTTGTGTTGTATTTTCTCAACCTTCTACCAGAAGGCTGGGCTTTGCCCTAGAACCAACCCCTCTCAGCAATGGATTCTGCTGAAGACATCAGTGCCCGATCCCCATAGGTGAGCTCCTTACCAACTTGAAGCATTAGTGCCCCTGGGGAAGGACCACACCCTGTGCCCACACCGACCTAGCTCCGGTCTGCCTGCCATGGGGACCTGGCCTCAGGGAGCTCCACATCTACTCCAGCCACCACGAGACCTCTTTGAGAAGGAACAAGAGCAGATGCTACCATCCAAGTTCAGGGCCCTTTTCTAGTCTGATTGTTCAACAATGCACGGGAAGAATGGGGTAAATTTTCTGAGGATCTTGATAAGCTTGCTGACGGATCCCACACCCTGACAATGGCCTTGGATCCAGGTCATCCTGGTTTCTTTGGTTTCTTGGTGCACAGCAATAAAAAGGGGGATTATGGGAGTGGCAAGACAGGCCAAATGGTGAGGTCTTTGCAACTGAACCTCATGGCAGTCGGCCAGCTGATGCGTCACTTGGCACATAGAAAGGCCTGCGTGGGTTAATATATTTATTTGTCATTTGTATTTCTGCATCTGAAAAGTGTGAATCAGTTTGGAGATCCCACAAAGAACTAGGATTGGAGGTCCCATTTGACACAGCTTTCCCCTTCTGGGTATCTTCCCAGAAGAATTAAAAGCCCCATACCACAGCAATGTATGTACATTAATGTTTTAGCAGCACAATTGGTAGCAGCTAAATCTTGGAAACAACCCAGATGCCCATCAAAAAGATGTGGTATTTTTTATACAATGGAATACTATTCAGCCATAATAAACTTGATACTTTTATACGTAAATGGATGCTACTTGAGACCATATTCATAAGTGAAATAAATCAGACTCACATGTGTAAACATCATATTGTCTCCCTGGTGTGAGAAACTGAAAGAGTAAATAAGGTCTAAAATGTACAATAGATATTGTGAAATGGGAAGAAATTGTTCAGGAGGAAAAAGGAACTAGTCGGGGCTGGAGATTTAGCTCAGTGGCATAAGCACCTGCCTTGCAACCAGGCGGTCATGAGTTCGATCCCTGGTACCGATAAAAGAAAGAAAAAAAAGAAAGAAAGAAAGAAAAAGGAACTAGTATGGATGAAAGGGGAAAGCACAGGAGGAAAAAGGAAAAAATGCAAATCAGTTATATTGTCAGTATCTCAGTTCACTGAAAAGGAAAGTCTGTGCCAGTGCTGACTGGAAAAATCCTTATGCCCATATCTTTTATCCTGAGCAACTGTTTTAAAGACAGCAACATGCAATGTACTATTGTTATTCTCCTATTCTTTTGGTATGAAATTTTTTTTCTATATAAGAAGAAAATTTTTAAAACCTTAAAATTGGAGTTGCAACAGCCACATTTCAAGTACTGAATAGCCACAGATGACTAATGCATACTATTGGGCAATGTCGTTTATAAAACACTTTGATCATTGCATTGAATTCTACTGAATAGCAAAAAAGGAAAAAAGAAAGAAAGACAAAAACGGGAGAAATCTTGGAACTGAGAGAGGCTGACTTTTTTGGCCTGTGCTTTGTGTCGAAATCTTGAAAAACCACCTACACCGACGCAGGACTACCTCTTGATCGGAATTTACGCAAGCTTCCAAAATCAGCTAATTATTTCCTAAGAATTCTGAGTCAAAAAACGGGAGGTACAAAATACCAGCTGAAAATACATTTCAAACTGATTTCCTTGTCTGGGGCAAAAGTGTAACTATTTAACTTTACGATTTTAGGCTTTCTTTTCTGATTACAGAATTGGGGAACACTTCCTTCCACAAAGCAGAGCGCTCCAGTGAGCGGAGGGGAGGACTGGCTGGCAGGCTCAGAAGGGCCGGAGAAAACAGGAACAAGACACAAGCAGATCGGTCATTTCAAAGACACTGTCCTAGTCCCCTGGACTGAGCCAGGCGCACAACAGAACACTAGTTGATCAAGATCAGATTACCTCTTTTTGTGTAAGGATGAAAGTGGAGTCTAGTTCCCTGTCACAACAATTGAAACTATCTCCTTTCTCAGCAGGTAAAATAAAGTTTCAGCTAGAAGGAACTGTAGCGTTAGTGAGATCCCATTTTGAATTTTAGCTTGCTGTTAGGACCTAGAGCAGAAACCTACCAGGTGGGAGTCGTATTTCTCCTGCATCACTATGGGTATGCATGTATCTGTATTTCATTTATTTGTAGTTCAGGTTGGTTATTTATTTACTTGGTCTTTTTGAGCAAGCCTCGTCGTTCAGGCTGGTCTTCAGTTTACTGAACTCACCATGATCTTCCTGCTTCAGCCTCCGCAGGGCCGGGATTCCGGGCGTGCGCCCTCAGGCCCATGCTGTAATGCGATGGCTAACCTTAGGCGAAGCCATCTGGAAGGGCCAGAGCTCGTCCTGCCTAGCTTTAACCGGAAAGGGTGGGCAGAGAGCAAAGCTGGCCCTGGCAGCATCCTCCGATCCGTCCCCTGGGCTCCCAGCACGGCCACCGCCGGGCAGCAGGAAACCCAGTGAATTACGCTCGGCGCGAGGGGGCGCGCGGCCGAGCCGGGGAGCCCGGGAAGCCCACCTCATCCTCCTCCAGGAAGCGCCCCGGCGAGGTGCGGGCGGGACGCCCGGCGCTAGGTTGTCCGGGGCCACATCAGCAGCGCCCCCGGGCGGGGCGGGGCGCCTGCGCCGAGCGCCGTGTGGGCGGGGCCAGGGCGGGGCTGGACGGCACGCCTGCGCAGTGCGGCGCGGGGGCGGGGCGAGGTAGGGGGCGGGGCCAGGGCGAGAGGCTGAGGTACCGGCGCCCGGCTGTCAGCGCGGCCGAGGGCGCGAGGAGGCGCGCACGAAGGCGCTCGCAGGACCGCCGTCCGCCCCGCCGCGGGTGTCTGCCACCAGGTGAAGGCCGTCGGGTCCCGCCCAGGGTCTCGGGCGGCGTGCGGGCCGGGTGCCATCTCCTCACACAGTCGCCTTCAGGCCGGCAGGTGGTCACCCCCGGGGGGCGTCTCGGCGAGGGCGGTGGCGGGGCCGGGCCGCGGGGGGCGGGGCCAGGGTGGGGGCGGGACCAGAGCTGGGCGGGGTCGTGGTGGGCGGGGCCAAGGGTTCCCTAGCCCGATGCTGAAGGGCGCGCCCCGAGCGAAGATCCGAGTTCCGCGGGCGCGGCCACCTTACCCCTGGGGGTCCCATCCTCCTCCGGATGCCAGGGCAGTGTCGCGACCCTGGGGCCTCCCTGTGCATTGATGGGTGGAGATGACACGTCTGTGTGCGTGTGACATGTACACTACGGTCAAATGTGTGTTCCACGCATGCCATCTTCTGGTGAGACTTCTCTGTGTGTCTTAAAATTCACATACCCCTAACATAAGGCAGCACTCGAAGGTGTGGCTTTTGCTGAATTCACAGTTTTGTGACTTGCCATCACTCACGAAATTGTCATCGTCTCCTAAAGAAGCCTTGCAACCGTGGACAGTGGACGTTCATCTCCTCCCGACCCCACTCCTTGGCAACCAGGAATCCACTTCCTGGATCTTTTGTGCAAATGGGATTTACCGCAGGTGGCCTTCTTTCCTAGAACACGTTTCTAGGGTTTATTAGTGTATCCCTAATGTGTATCCCTGGTTTTATTTCGAGTGATGGCAGTGTGTCACCGTGCCTCATCGGCAGTTGTTTCTCTCTTTTGACTTGTTTTTTTGTTTTGTTTTGTTTTGTTTTTTGTTTTTTGCACTGGGGATCGAACTCATGACCTCATGCTTGCCAGACAGGCGCTTATGTCGCTGAGCTAAATCCCCGGCACTCCCTTTTGACTTGAGTGTTCTGCTGCTGTGGACATCTGGGTATGTGTTTTTGGTTTTAATTGCAGTACTGGGGATGGAACTCAGGACCTACTGGATAAGGGTTGTACCACTGAGTTACATCCCCAGCTGCACGGAAAGTTATAGAGTTTCAGACACAGATAGATAAAGATAGATATAGATGTGGACATAGGTATAGCTAGCTAGAGATGCTTTGGTTTTATTTCCGGTTCAGGAGGCTCTAGCGTGTAGACAAGCACCGCACCACAGACATATACCCAGCAGTGCGGCTGCCCAGTGTTTAACCTTCTTGGAAACTGCCAGCCTTTACTATGACATTGTGTACCACCAAGCAGTGGAGGAAGGGTTCCATTTTCCTCCAACGACTCACCAGCCCTTGTTATTTTATCCAGCTCTTCTTGCCAAAATAAACTGTCCACTTTATGTGAAGTGGTATCTCTTTGTGGTTTTGATTGGCACGTCCCAATGAGCATCTTTTTATGTACTCACGGGCCATTTGTGTATGTTTTTGCAGAAAAAATGTCTGTTCAGATCATGTGCCCATGTTTTCATTGGGCTATTTGGCTTTGTGTTGCTGAGTTGTGCTGTTCATTCGTGAGAAAAAGCAAAAACCTTGGGGATTGGCAGCAGTGAAAGAGGAAAGTCAGCCAGCGTGATAGCAAAGCACATCCAGTCATCCAGGTGCTTGGGCCGGTGTTGACTCTTCCACGTAAGGGTACGTCCCCACCTGTTCCTTTGCAGCATCTTAGGGCCCCTTCCTATTTTCTGGTGTGTGGAGGGAAGGTACCGAGGACAGGGTCCTCACTGGAGACCGGAGAGCTCAGTGTAGAAGTCCCCGTACTGCTTCACGTACTAGCACTACGTACAGGTGGCTCAGTAAGGAAGCAGGGAGTAAACGGCAAGCACAGATTACTCCGTGAGAGTTCGTTCCCTGTGCTTCTCAGCACAGCGGAGGGCCTTGTTTTCCTCAGTGTGTAGCTCTCCTGTCTGCAGCTTTCGTTCATTCATACACGGCGGGAAATGAATAGTTTCTGATGGCTCTGAAGTTAATTGCCACTCAGGATGGTGCTGTGGGGATTGCACTGTTAACTTCTGGGCGCACAGAAACTGCAGAAAGCTTTTTACAGCAAAAGTTACTTCAAAAGACGGGGCTCAGTCCTAAATAAATACAGCATGGGGAAAGAGAAATTTCGAGCCAAGGATAGGGTGGGCGTCAGTGGATAGAGAATCCCCAGGAGGAGAGCTCTGGAGGCTTCAGGCAGGCCGCCTGGCTGAACCAATCTAACCGGATTCTTGTTGAAGACAGGCCAAGGTCATCAGACCTCATCAGGAGGATGACCGAGGATGAAGCGCCTGATCAGATAACCAGGCTGTGGCTTTTGTCTAAAGTGATTTAGCAGGCTTCTTTGCTAAAATGAAATTTTAGCCAAGTATCTTTAATCCCAGCACTCAGGAGGCTGAGGCAGGAGGATTGCTGAAAGTTCAAAGCCAGCCTGAGCTACATAGTTGAAGATCAGCCTGAACTGTATAGCAAGATCCTTGTCTCAAAACCAAAAATCAGTTCAATTTATGCAGACATTTGATCAAGAAATGAGGGAGAAACCTCTCGTTTGTTTAATTCCCCTTCCTTTGCCTGGTGTTCTCCTTTGTTAACTCTTCTTCCTGCGCCCCGGAATCAGCCTGGGATTCCTGCTGGTATAGTGACACCTCAGGGTGCTAACTGTACCCTTTCTCCACAGTCTCTTTAAACTGCACTCAGGACTGGGTGTTGCTCAGTGGTAGAGAGTTTGCCTAGCATGCAGGGGCAGGTGCAAGGTCCTGAGTTTGATGTCCAGTACCACAAAACAAAGGGCAATAAAAACAGAAGTTGAGATCAAATTCAGAAAGTTTAAAACACTTTAAATAGAACTTTACGGTTTCTGGCTGAGACCTTGTTAAAGTCTCCCTTGCCAGAGCCCACTTACCTGGGGAGAGAAACCTCTCCTGAAGAGCACGGTGCCCCGAGAAGTGAGCCAGTGAGAGGAGTAAGTCCTGCAGGACCGATGATGAGTGGGGGGAGGAGCGTTGCTCTCACCCTGCCGGTGCCTACCTAGAGGTGCGGAGGTTCTGTCACCCAGGGAGAGGGCACCCACACCCACACTCTCATCCCTCAGGGCAGTGCACACAGCACTCCTTGGAAATGAATCACCGTTCGTAAATGGACCATCTGTTTTGCCTGGAAATAACTAAACCTCTAAAACAACTTTTAAGTGGGTGATTACTTCATTATGTGGTTAAATACATAGAGTATCCAAGTCCATTTCCTTGTTTTATTCACTATGTATTTATTTCATTTTTTCTTTTTTTTTTTTTTTTAGACAGAGTCTCGTTGTGTAGTTCGCTCTGGCTTTAAACTCAAAAGACCTACTGCCTCAGCCTCCCAAGTGCTGGGATTGCAGGTGTGTGCCACCAAGCCCAGCCCCTCAAATGTTTATTGAGTGTTTAATAGGCTCCAGGTTAGGCTCTGGATTGGGACTATGGAGAAACAGAAATGCGTCCTTGATTGCTTAGGTTTGTGGCCTGGAGAGACTTGCTGAAGAACCGAAGAGTTGGGGATCACAGAGGAGGGGAGCTGATTCATGTGTGCCGCACATGTGAGTGGTACTGGGGCTTTAACCCAGGGCTTTTGCATTGAGCTACATCCCCAACTCACTTTCCATGTTTTATTGTGAGACAGGGTCTTGTAAGTTGCCCAGACTGGGCTTGAACTTGTAGTGCTCCTGCCTCAGCTTCCCACAGTGCCTGGATTACAGGTACACATACTGGGAATAATTGAGGAGGGCCAGGGAAGTCTGTTTAAGAGCTCAGATCGGAAGTAGAATAACAAATAACCAAGTAAAAGGGAAGAGTGAGGATGAGTAAGATTGTCTCAGGCAAAAAGAACAGATCCAGAGACCAACTAGTAAGAGTGTGGTACACTGGACTGGTATTTTCACACTCTGCCTACAGGTAGATCAGGAAGTGGCTTTAGTGGGTTGTTTGACCATCATGTGTGAAAAGGAATGAGATAGGAAGCAGGAGCACTCACACACATGAGGACTTACCAGGCTGTGAGGTCGGTGGGTTGCTGCTGCAGGGTTTAGTCTCCTTTAGTAAAGAATTTGGACTTAGAGGAAAGAAGAAGCCAGCAAAGTGCTCGGAGCGAGCTGTGGGAACTAAGCCAATGGCATGGTCTGACTCTGTGCCTTTATTATTAGAAACGGGTGTGTAGTAGCAGTACGTCCTGCTAGCTCTAGGAACACTTGCTTTGGACAAAGAGAAAGACTTCATTAGATTTTTTCTTAGTCAAAGTCATACTAGCAACAGAACTGTGTTTACCTTCTTAATTTTGAGACAGGGCCTCCCCTGTCACTCAGTGGCCCAGGCTGGGCTTGAACTTGGCATCCTCCTGCCTCAGCCTCCCACAGGGAGGCACCACCGCACCTGTCTAGCAACATTTACTTATTTAAAAAGGTAATACAATAAAACCGATTCCAGTCTTCCATCAAACAGCAGAGAGAGAAAATCAGTAACAGCAGAGGCTTAGTAGCTTGGGAAGGTGGTGCAGACTGCTCCTCGGAGCAGGCGTTTGGGCTGAGTTTGGACATAGGGCCTTCTCACAGAAGGAGGGTTTAGAAAAACGCAGGGGATGAAGGGAACAGATTAGATTGTATCAGTCATGAGAGTCAGCAAAAGATGGATTTTGTCACAGAAGAATTAAACATTGAAGGCCTGTGTGTGCCCGGAAAGCAACCAAGAGTTAGCGGTGTCAGGGTTTTGCCGGAGAAGGTTTGTGACTTTGAAGATTTCACTGTGACGCCCCGACTGTGAGTGCTCTCTTCTGATCCCTGTGGGCCAAGTTAGGGAAACTTCATGAAAGGTAGACAGAGTGTGTCTGGTTCAGGCTCCTCGGTGCGCGTATGTGTTCTGTAAGTCTGCACGCGTCCATGTCTAAAGGCAGGTGCCAGCGTCAAATGCTGCTGACGGGGTGGCCTTTAAAAGATGCCCACCAAGTTGTATGTGTCTGTTCGTAGAGTCCTGGCTGAAGCAGCATGCCGTGGAACTAAATTGAAGTGGTCCACGTGTGTAACATGACCTCAGGAAGGGCCTGTTCTGGGGGAGAGGGTCATGCACCAGGCTGCTCGCTGTCAGGCGGTGTGGCATGTCAGGCAGCCGCTGCAGCCGCCGCAGGGAAGCGATTCCAGGACCGCCTCCGTTCTTCAGTTAGGCAGGGCACGGCTGAGTGCTCGGGGACTGGGCGCTCTGAGCCGCTGCTTTGCTTCTGCAGAACTCTTATCTGTTGGGGTCTCTCATGGGACTTAGTTAAGCCAGGTATTGCACTGCATTAAAACATACATGTCCTGAGCCCTGGTGCTGCCCCCTCCCCGTGACATGGCTGCTTGGTCACATGGCTCCTGTCCTCTTCAGTCTCCTGCCTGCTTGCCTTTAACTCTGTTGGGCTGCCTGTCCTGTCTGCTCCACCCCACCATTTTTCTAAATACCACTTGTTCTTGAAAGTGCAGCTCACCGTCACTATAATCATCTCTCCTTTCAGTCTGACAAACACATTTCATCGGGCACGGAAGGTGAATTACATAGAAGTTTGTACCCTGAGCTTGGCAGCACTGGAAGGGACGGGCTTCCGGTCAGTGACTGCAGCAGCACCGGGAAGCACAGCCCTGGGGGCGCATCCATGGCCCCAGTGAGCCAGGCGGCATGGACCTAGGTGTGTCTCGGGGTCTTCAGAACAGATGTGTTCACTTGTGGAGCGCTAGGAGATCACACAGAGTTCGGCTGTGAACCAGAGACAGCCCGAGGACCAGCCCACATAGCAGGGTGGACGGGCCACAGAGCCTGCGCTCGTCCTTGTCACTGACCAGTCTCAGAAGCCCTGAACTCGCGTCCTAGGTCTTCCTCTTCCTGCTGTGTCACTCTGGGTGTGTCAGCCTCTGAGGCTCTGGTCTCTAAAGTGTAAGTGGACCTAAGTGGACCGAGCATGCCTGTCTCCCAGGCTTTTACAGAAAGCTCCAGTAAGTCTGCATAAATAAAGGCTGTTCTTTCTGCTCTCTGGGGTGGTGATCCAGCGCAGAACACGTTGTCTTTCCTTGGGGTTTCTGAAAATCTTTTGGAGGACTTGCTGATTTGACTCTAGTCCTTTGCAGTATTCTTTTTGGCTTTTTAGTTTGAGAGTGGCCATTTGATTTACTTCATATTTATGGTAAGGAAACTACACAAGCAAGTGTTCAGCTGGATGAGCTATAGTATTGTTAATAGAAACAGTGTTAGACTGCCTCCATTACCCTTTTCTTTTGTTTGTTCCCCTTTGAAACACTCTGGTTTCATGGGGCTGGCCGCAGCTCAGCGGTGGAGCAGGTGCTTAGCGTGCATGAGGCCCTGGCCACAGCCTCCCTCCCCACCGAGAGAGCAGACTGAACCACGTCTAAGAACCGCGGGCGCTGAAGACAGGACTGTGTGGTGTGTACATACACAGCCGTGTGCTTGGGACTTTGTAGCATGCCAGCAATAAACTAAATGAGGACCAGGACAGGTAGATAGTATAAAATGTGAATCGGAAACTCTAGTTAATTGGTTTTTGAAAAAGTCAGAACAAACAGCTGGTCTGAAAGCTACAAGCCAGGCTTTCAAAACAGCAGTGCCCAGCACTGTATGACTGAATGACATAGTTTGCTATACTGGCAAGAGACAGAGATAGACGGTGTAAAAGGAGTCTTGAGTCCTCTGTAAAAACATACACACACAGTGACAAATAGTGGTGCGTTAGCTAACACTTACAAAAGGCTTGGCGCAGGTGTGTACACACGTTAGGGAAATGTGTGAAGTCGGTGAGTCCTTACAAGACCCGGTGAGGAAGCTGCTTTTCACAGGGAAACCGAGGTACAGAGGCACAGGTCCTGCAGCTGAGGAGGGTCAGGATGTCAGCAAAGGCAGTTCGCCCCTGCCGATCTCTTTAGAGTTGTGCCACTTTTCAGTTGAGATGTGAATTCTCTTTTTTAGTACCAGGGATCGAACTCATCACCTCGCTCTTGCCAGGCAGGTGCTTATGCTGCTAAGCTAAATCCCCAGCCCTGTGGCTACAATCTTTAAATCAAAGATAGAATTTTGATGTGTGGATTTTTATTAAGTGTAAACTCACGTTACTCCTTAGGACAAAACCTGCTCCTTCCTCAGCTCCAGGGCATGTGCTTAGGCCATTGAGGCAAAGCCTGAGCCTTAGTAAGGAACACTGAAAGAGAAGACACTTAATGTTTAGGAATTCTTTAAAAAACAACTAGTACTTGGGAGGAGATATCAGACCTCTGTTTCACTTAGGGTTATTTGCTGGTGCTGTTTCCTTTCGGGTTTGCGTGGGTGTTTTGTTTCTGGAGACAGGGTCTCACTGTGTAGCCCAGGCGGGCCTCCAACTTGCAGGGACCCTCTTGCCTCAGCCTCCAGAGTGCTGAGATGACTTGGCTTGTTCCGTGCTGTTTTCATTTGGAGCTGCACGTGAAGGGGCGGGGAAGACCAGCGTGGACTTGGCAGTGTTCTGGCACTCCTTTGGCACTTGGCGGACCCGCTGGAGGACTGTACGCGATCATCTGAAGATAGAAGGGATGAAGAGCCAGTGGCTGAGGGTGGCGGCACCCAGCGGCCGCGCTGCTGCTCAGGGCCAGGCGTGTTAACCGGGTGAAGGCTTAGCGTGGGTGCCGTTGGGAGCGCTGGGGAAGAGGAAAGAAAAGGCAGCTTTCGGAGCTCCTGGGAGCTGAGAGACAGTGCAAGTGGCTGTTAAAGTAAGTGGCGGAGATGTGACTGATACTTCATGAAATGCAGAGAGCGGGACGCCGCGGCGTGTGCAAGGTTAGCTTGTTTCTGTTTCCCACGGCGGTCTCCTGTGAAGAGCAGCCTGGCCGTGGGCGGAGGACAGAGCGGGCCGGGCAGCTTGGCAGGCCCAGCGCTCCGTGGGCAGCTGGGCGGCCCGGCAGGCTGGCAGCACTTTCATCTTGGACTTTGAGTTGGCTTCCAGTAAAGGGCTCTTTGTTTTTTAGCTGATACCAAATAAAAACAACTCAGCCCGACTAAAGGGTAGGGGAGAGACTTGATTGCAAGGTGCGGAGAGAGGGAGAGTCGGTTGTTGTCCCAGTGCCACGCCAAGGTAATTGGGGAAGCTGACGCCGCGGCCCTGGGAGCCACCTTGTCAGTGCTGGCTTCTCCCTGACTGCGTGGAGCAGGGTAAAGGGCACACCTGCCTGGCAGCAGGAGGGTGTCCGTCGGGCAGGGAAGGGTGCCCAGTGAGCAGCGGGATGCTCCGAGGAGCAGTGGACAGTACATCTCCGCCCTAACACAGAATTTAAATGATAATCTCACACTGGTGGCCAATATTTATCTTTCACTTTTCTTAGAGAGTTTTGCTTTTCTTTAAGTTTTGGCCCATTGGCTTTTCTCTTCCGTTTTCTTTTTCACTGTTACTTTGTTTGCTTTGGATGTTAAGACCAGGTTTTTGTTTTGGTTTTTTGAGGCCAGGTCTCCCTATGTAGCCCAGGCTGACCTTGAACTCACAGTGCTCCTCCGGCCTCAGCCTCCCGAGTGCTGGGATTACCGGCATCGCCACCACACGCAGTTTCTCTTTTCCCCTAATCCTTGACCTGTTGGCACCTCTTCTGCATGTTATGATTCTGGAAACTAAACGTTCAGCTTGTTAACTGCATAAAGTCTGGTGCGTGTTTTAAGTTGGTCTCAGGAATGGGTTTGTATTTTTAAAATTGAATCCTAAGAGTGTTAGTTTTTGTTAGAATAGTAAAATACAAAAATGTACTTTTTTTTGGCTGGATGTGGTGGCCGTGGTGGCTCATGCCTGTCATCCCAGCACTCGGGAGGCTGAGACAGGAGGATCACTGCAGGTTTGAGACCAGCCTGGGCTACAAAGTGAGCACAAGACCAGCCTAAACTGCATAACAAGACTCTGCCCCAAAAAGACAAAAAAAAAATGTATTTTTTATGAGTTCCAAATAGTTTCTGCTGATGGGATGTGCTGTTACACTGCAGTAACTTAGTTTCTGAATGCAGCTATTTTATAAGTGCTAGAGAAGCAGGTAAGGGAATGTATTATTTATGTTTTATTCTTATGTACTCTGTCTTATTACATAGAAATGTTGAATTAGCTTACAAAAAACACCCACAAGAAATACTGATTTTAAAAAAGTGGAAGTACAAAATCATTACTGGAGAAAATAAAACCAGGGGTGTAAAGGTCAGTGAAGAAACTGGGCGTAAGATTTGCGTTGCCCGTGGACCTGTGAGTGTCCTCGCTGCTGAAGATAAAACACGGGTGCTCAGTCTTTACTAAAGAAGGAAAAACACCAGTTTTTTAGTTGCAAGTTTCTATGTAGTTATAATTGTTAAATACAATTTTACAAACTTAACGTAGGGAGGGGAGACACTGAGAAAGCTGAGTTCTTTGGAGTTTGCACAAAATTTGTTAGTTTTAAGATAATCGGTAAATGATAGGGCTTTTGTTTTTGTTTTTTACTAAAATACACATAAAAATGTCTCAGATACAGTAGCGGAAGTGTCCGTTTTTGTAGGGACAGATCCAGCGATAGTGCTGTGTGTGTGGGGAGAGCGCTGCCCTGCAGCTCTGCTGTCAGGAGCTCCGTCCATCCGTGCTGTCGCCTTGTGGTCCTGTGGGTCCTAAGGGGACAGCCAAGGGCTGCCCTTTCTGGGGTGTGCTGGGGCGGGGAGCATCGGGAAAGTGGAAGCTTTACTAGAAGAGGAGGAGCTGAGGTGTTTAGTAATGAAACTGGTATCTAAAAGGTCTTTTTAAAGTTTTCCTTAAAATAAGAGGAGTTAGTCATTGGGGGGAATTGGTAGGACTTAGATTTGGTCAGGTTTAGATTTTTTTGAGACAGGGTCCTTACTGAGTAGTCCACACTGGCCTCAAACTCACAGTGATCTTCCTGCCTCAGCTTTCCCAGGGCTGGGATTACAGACGTGTGCCTCCACACCACAGATTTGGGTCACAGAGGACATTGGGCAGCCCTACAGTCCTCCCAGTTCCAAGTACTGCAGAAGGCATGTCAAATAGGCACAGTCCTTATCTTTAGGCACCCGTCACAGTTACCGACGTGCCCGTTCACGAATCCTTGGGGTAGCATTTGGGGTGCATTTGCTCTCCGTTCACAAGCCCCGAGTCTGTGCCGAGCACAACCCGCATTTCCCAGTCGAGGAGCAAGTTAAGCTTGTGAGTGGAGGCAGCGCTTGCGGAGTACTGACTGGGTGCTATTCAGAGGAACAGATAAAGCGCCGATTTATAGAATGGCGTGTAAAGTTTGGTTTTTTTCACATAATAAGGGTTGTTTTGTGACTTGGAGAACTTTGATAGCACACGTAAACACAGGTATACACTTAAAGAGCAAAATAAATGTGCAAAATGTATCTTTGCAGAACGGCAAAATTAAGAATGTATAATAAACAATACAACTTGACTCATAGGCCGTTTTATGCATCCATAAGGATATTATACTACTGTTGTTTTTAATTGATTAATAAAAATGTAAACTACCTACTTGCTTAACAAGATTTTAGATTTCTGACCAAGTGTGATGCATACCAGAGATAGATCTGTTGTTGGGAGGAGAGAAGACAGCAAGACCACCGTGTGATCCCTCATGGTGGCTGGTGGCTCTTGGCTCTGCTGGACACCAAAGTGTCCACTGACGTGGCCCCACTGACCTTGGTTCTGCCAACCTGGCTCCACTGCCACAGGGGGCAGATTTTCTCCACAGTTCTGATTGCACACACCTGTGTACATAAAGTGCACCTCCTTCTTAACTATAAAAAAGCAATTTCAGCACAGGTGCTAAGATACTTTTAATTTAGGTTGAGTTTATGAGGAGAGCCTGGTGTTAGTTTATTTTCCTGTAAAGTAATGGCACAGCTCCGCGGACCAGCAGTGAGCTATGGCTGTCTTCCACAGGGCAGGAAGTGACATTCGCTATAAAACCAAATGTGTTCAGTGGATCTGAGTTTTGATGTAAAATGTATATTTATTTTTTAGGGAAAGATTGTCTTTAACTTGATAGAATTGGAGAGGACAGTCTTTTGGTATTTGAGCTTCAAATGCTTAGCACTGTTTCAAACTTTTTTTAAAAATCCATTTTATCTGAAGATAAATAGAAAGAAGAAAAAACTATAACAGAATTTCAAAGCATGTCAGGTGGGGTAACAATGGTGCATACACTGCATTGTCATCCCCAAATCATTCACCCAGAACATAAGACATCTGCTCTCAATTGTACAAACAATACTAGGACAAATCTTTCTTCTCAGTGAACTCAGAAAAATCATAACTATCTTAACTATTTTTTATACACATATACATGCCCGTGTACATAGGATCAAACCTTTTTTTTTTTGAGATAGAGTCTTGCTATGTAGTGCAGGCTGGCCTAGGGCTCACTGCATGGCCCAGGCTGGTCTGAAACTCAACAGCAACCCTCCTGCTCAGTCTCAAGAACGCTGGAGTTATAGCCATTCACCACCTCACCTGGCTTAAACTTCTTGACCAGCGCCTAGGACCTATAAGCACGATGTGTGTCCGAGACACTTCTGATCTAAAACGAGCAGCAAGCTGGTCTCAGAGTGCCCTTTAGAACACGTGCCCTTCGGGGTCATCTTTCAGTAGGTCATGCTGTGTGATCAACAGTTCCAGACTCAGTGGCTTTCAGGGTCAGAAGTTTTCCCATCTGTCACATTTTGGAGTCACCTTGGGTGGCTGTGGCCACTGCATCTCTCCCTGTGCCTTCGTCCCAAACCCCGTGGGAATTGGCAGGAAGAGGGCACCTGGCACTACTCTCTGCCATGGGCTTCACTATTGCTCTGGTCCTGTTGGCCACAGCTGCTCACGTGGCCACCATCGGCCATGGGGAACGGAAGTGCGGGCAGTGGGTTGGGAACAGCAGTATACCTGCCGTAGTATCGCAGTGTTGTGCACTTACTTTTGTAAAGATTTATTTCTTCATAGTTTACAAAGAGAGCTTAGAATTTAAATCTTGAGTTACAGTACTGAAGTTTCAGACACATGGTCCTCTCGCTTATGTGTTAGATTGCTGTAACTTACTAAGGATCCGGTGAATGGCCCATAAATGTCTTTCTCTGCTGGCATTCTATAACTTGAGCATCTTAAGACCAGGGGAAACTTTGCCCAGGAAATATCTCAAGCTTGTGTTTTTGTTTTTGTTTTTGTTTTTTGAGACAGGATTTTACTATATAGTTCTCTGGTCTTGAACTTATTTTGTAGCCCAGTCTAGCCTTGAACTCCCCCCTGCCTCAGCCTCCCCAATACTGGAATTACAGGGGTGCCCCAGCTCACCCAACTCTCAGATGATATTCTTAAGCCAATTATAATGCATTTTAATGTCAGGACTACAAATATGACTGTGCTCCAATTTATGTGTGAACTGAATGCCCTCTACTGTATTAGGGTAGATAGCAAGCAAATGTTTTCACAGTAAACATTCTCACTGTCTCTTCATACTTTAATGACAAAGTGTACATTAAGTTGTAAAGAAAGTACTAGTTTAATGTTTAAAATATAAGCTGTACACTTTATCTCTTGTTGTGTACTGATCTGTGTAACCGTCAGGTGCACTTTGACTCTGAGTCTGGCAGTAGGAGCCATGCTTTACTACGTAAACTTACCTGCCGTGGAACTTCAGGTCAGTGGAGGACATGCATGGGTGTTAACACATAAAATAAGCAAAAATAAGAATGTTTTGCTCCAAGATTTAGCAGAAAACAAAACACAAAAGCTCTGTATTATAATGCTGTGCACAGAACAGTTCATTAGATGGCGCAGAACAGTTCGGTTTTGAGCAGAGGAAGCATAATATTAGCACTTCAGGATTAACTTAAGATATATTTTATACTTGTAACTCTGAAAATCTAAATATCAAAATAATCTGATTTTTAAATTGTGTTATTTTTCCTTTCCAGGTCTAGTCTCTCTGTGGAACTGCTAAACATCTGTTAGTGGAAACCCTATTTCCACAATGAAGTCAGCACTCTAAACACCTGTTTCTGTGGTTGTGAGTCGTCTGCATGGTTCACGAAGCTTGAGATCGAAGGAACCCAGGGGCCTGTGTGATGACAATATGACTAATAGCAAAGGAAGTTCTCCTGCTAATCAGACAAGCAATGCTGCAGGTAGCGGGGGCGGTTTTGTAGATTGGACTTTACATTTAAATACAATTCAATCGGATAAGTTTTTAAATTTACTGTTGAGTATGGTTCCGGTGATTTATCAGAAAAACCAGGAAGACAGGCACAAAAAAGGAAACGATGTTTGGCCAGATGGATTATCAGGTGCGACCCAGACCTTCAGTGACAGATCGGAGCAGCACCTGGTGTACCACAGTTTCTCCGAGTCTGCATTTCACAGCAGTAATGGGCACGCGCCGTTGAGCTGCAGTCCCACGTATGACGACTACGCCAGCTACAACTACTGTGAGGCCCGGGAGACTTCCGAAACCACGGCCATGTTGCAAGATGAAGATCTGTCCATTGAGGCTGACGAAGACGTGATTGTGGAAGCAAAACCAAAGTTACCAAAGGAGTCCAGTGGCATTATGGCGCTGCAAATACTTGTGCCATTTTTGTTAGCTGGCTTTGGAACAGTTTCAGCTGGCATGGTTTTGGATATAGTACAGGTGAGTTTTCACCTCTGACAGTACTGTTGTTTCTTCCATTCTTGATTAAAATGCCTTATGTAAGGTATGAGTCTCACACATTTTAAAAAATTCAGCCTTGCAGTGCTGGGGTCAGACCCAGGCCTCAGGCATGCTCACCCAGTGCTTCATCCCTGAGTTGGGTCCCCGCTCTCAATACCACTTTAGATTCAACTCACTTCTTAGGAGAGTGAATGGCTGTGGACTTGGCGCACACCCTTTATTCCTAGTTAGGCTTTTGCTTCTTTGTTCTGGCATTGAACACACGTGCACTCAGGGTTGCTGTCTTCTCCTGTTGAATTGTTCCTTTTCATTTATGGTGGCCTTTGTGTCCTTCGTGGAGCAACTGCCAGACTACATCTTCTGATTGGGAGATTTAAGCCTTCTACACTCAGGGTTATTACTGATAAGGAATGACACATGCTTGTCATTTTTGTGAGCTTTTTCCTGGTTGCGGTGTGTCCTTTGCTCCTTTCTTCCTCTTTGGTTGTTCATCTTTGTGGTTTGGCATTTCCAGTTGATGTTTGGTCTTTTTCATTTTTATCGATCAGCTCCAGGGAGTTTTGCCCTTGAACGTGTTATGCCGATGTTGGGTACCGTCCTTTAGCTTCAGTTGTCACCCTCCTCCCTGGAGCCACTCCTCTGAGGCCTTTCTGGTGACTGTTGACTTTTCTTAGCTTTTGCTCATCTTGAAAAACTTTGTGTTTCACTTCCGAAGCTTTGCCGGCTATAGTAGCCTTGATTGGCAGGACTTTCTTCCATTGGAGGAAAATTAACCTAAGTTAATTTTGCATGTTGGTCTCAGTTGCTATGGTAATAAACACTTAGTCCCTCCTGTGTGCAGGAGTGAGCATGGTTATGTCCCCATTCGGATGAAGAAAGTCGAGCATCCTTTTCCCCAAATCAGATGATAAGTTACCAGGGTCAGAATTTCAGCCTAGGTAATCTGGCTACAGAGCCCTTCCTCTGGACTCTGTGGTCTACAGCTTCTCTCTATCTATGGTCCCCAGGCTGTGCCTCAAGATTCCTTAGGATTGTTAAAGAATAACAATCTTTGAGGGAGTCATTGACATGAACACATTATAGACTACCAACTCAGAGTAGTCTAACATTTCAACATTAGATCATACTCCATTCATATTGATGACATGTTTTTGCAAAATTGGGGTTTAGCAGTGCTGTGATTAAAAGGCAAGTGTTCACAGAAAACTCTAGAACAGAAGTAGAGGTGACAGTTTCCACCTTCAGGGTTTGAGAAGTCATGCAGTGCCCAACATTATACATTTTGTATTAGTGAACAGTTAGTTGCATTTGTATAAAAATGACATTGAAGTTTAAAAACTGTTTCATTTCTTCAACAGACTACTAACCTTGTTAGGAAATAAATACTTGTAAAGTTGTTTAGAAATAACTATTTAATAGTAAACAGAATTGTTAAGTGTTTATTTTGTCCTCAGGATGCCATGAAAACATCTCTGAAATACTGAAGGGTGTCAGGAACAGAAGACCAGGAGCTTCTGCAAACACAAGTCTGGAGGTGTAGAAAAAAACACAGAGGTTTTTTGGCATAGATAAGAAATCAGTAATTAATAGCTCTTGTGTGTGACCACACCAATGCTAAGTTGTCAGGGATTTCTTAGTAAAGGTCATGTATTTTTGTAAATTAATTTTATTGATGCAGCTTTGATAGACATAATGGTCACGTTCATCATAGGGAATTTGTACCTATACATGGTATATCTTGCTTCTTTTTTTCCCTTCTCCTTCCCCACCCAGCCCCTTTCCCCTCCTTTTTAAAAAAAGTGTTTTTCCCCATTTTCCCCTCTTTTTTCTTTAACATTCCTGTCCTTCCCCATCTCCCTTCCTTGTTTCTCTTCCCATATAAACATCTTCCTCCTGCTTCCCAGTACGTATCTTTACACTGAAAACGACAATACTCTGAAAAAGGAGATCAAGGAGGATATCGGGAAATGGATCCATGTCCCTTGTTCTTGGGTAGGAAGGACCCACATGGTGAAAACGGCCATACCTCCACAGCTGTGAAACAGACCAGAAGAGACTTAGAGCAGCAGAGGCAGTTCTGGGCAACCAGGGCAGCGAGGGGACATCTCAGCCCCTGACTTGAAATTACACTACAAAGCTACCGTGATAAAATCAGCATGATACTGAAAAAAGCAAACCCAAGGATCAGTGGAACAGATTAGAAGATGCAGAAAAAGCTCCAGACACACTCAGCTGCCTTATCTTTGAGAGAGAGGTCGACACTTTCACTGGAAGAAAGACAGCCTTTTTAATAAATGGTGCTAGAAAAACTGGCTTTCCACATGCTAAAGGTTAGAATTAGACCCATATCACCCACAGTGCACTAAACTAAAATCAAAATAGATCAAAGATCTAAATATTAAAACAGAAAAACTAATCTTGAAGAGTTTGGTACCAGGGATTGAACTCACAACCTTGCCCTTGCCAGGCAGGTGCTTATGCCACTGAGCTAAATTCCCAGCCCAGCGGAGACTTTATTACCAAAGCCCCAGTCACACAGGAAGTATCACAAAGAATCAACAGCTGGGATCTCATCTGATTAAAAAGCTTTGGCACAGTGAGAGAAGCCACCAACAGAGTGAAGAGACAACCCACAGCATAGGAAAAGCGGTTGTGGATTTGATTTGACCTGAGCTTGCTGGTGCATTGGAACTGAGAGGAGTGACCTTCTCAACAGGCCGGAAGCTTGTGACTGAGAGGCGTGCGCCGGAGCTGAAATTCCGCCACACAGGCAGTTCTCTTAAAACGGGACCCAGACGAAATGTGTTTCAGAATGACGCCTGCGACTTGGTAAAGGTGATGCCTGCCGTAGGTGTGTTGCCAGCGCTGAGTCAGTCTAGAGGCGGTGGTCTGGAAGAGCGAGCGGACGACCGTCAATAATTGCTGCTGTTAGTTGTCTTTGCCCCCACCTTCATCCTCCTCTCACCATCCTTCTAGTGTGGAAAGGCACATAGCACACTGGGATCTCCCCCACCAAAAAAACAGGAGCACAACTGTGTGTTCGCTCTGAAGACTAGGGACGTAGGTGCTGCGACGCCTGGTGTTTCCGTGGGTGTGTGGGGTGCTGGGGGTGGCACCCAGCGCTCCACCGCACTGACCACCCAAGCTCTCCACCATCAGCTGCGCTGCCCAGAGCTTCCCTAGTCGTGTCTTAGCTGCTGAATCCTGGGGAGTGTCTCCTGTGAGTGTTTGAACCCAGAGTTTATGAAAGACTGAGCTGAACCATGCTTCTAATCCCTCTGTAGGCCCCAGTCCACACTCCCTTGGAAGAGCCTCCACAGAAACTTCAGGAGCGAGTTGAGTTTTTCCTCCCATCCATCCAGTGGATGTAAGTTTTCCTTCTCTCTCCTGCAGCTAGCTACAAGGTGTGCGTTCCTGATGCTTTTTTGTCGTGAGGCTAATGCTCCTACTCATAAAGTCTCTTACTGGCACAGACACCTCTTGGTATTTGTTGAAGGTGTTAGGGATTGCACCCAGGGCCCACACATTGATCCCTGAGTCACATTCCCTCCCTCTCACTGCTTATTCTGAGCAGGGTCTCTCTGATTTATGTAGGCACGCCTTTTCCTCAGCCTGCTGAGGATGTCGCCTGCTTCAGCCTCTCAAATAGGTGGCATTACGTTGTACATCATACTCAGCGATAGTTATTACTCAGTAGCATTTGGCAAATGCTATTGATATTTAAATACTATATTTATGTGGTCTTTAATATTTAATGTGTATGTAGTCTTTTCAGCCTGTAAAGCACTTTCATATCTGTTACTGTCGTTATCATGGTATTTCTCCAAAGGTCGGGCGGAGCAGCTTTTATTTTCATTTCATTAAGATCAGAAAGAAATGTGACTCATCCAGGATCTCGGAGCCAAGCTTTGGAGATTCCTGCCTAGAAGCAGAGATGTCATTTCCAGCTTATCAAGGTGTTTATGTCCCTGCATTCTGCAGCCTGCTGACTTCGTTCTCTAAAATGGAGAACGGAATTTAGCAGTATTCAGAATTCCTGAGATCAACTCCTGGCCCTGTCTTCTGGCCTTGGAAAAATCGTGTTACCTTTTTAAGTTTTTATTTCTTCATTTTTGAAATGAGGTGATAATGGTAGCATAATATTCTTGTGATGTTGTTTTTATTTGTAGGTTTTGTTAGTACACGTTCGTATATATAATGAATTCACATAGCTGTTGCATATGCATGACACGTGCTAATTCTCTCCCCTTCTCTCCTTCTTTGGTCCTCTTTTCATTTGCAAAAGATCTGCCTCCCTGTTTTTATCTTTTGTTTTGTTCTTTATCATAATTTGAGTTTCTCATGTAACAGAAGCCATATTTAAGGGTATATATCTGATTATTTCATTTAATATGATTTCAAGATTTTTCTACAGATGATTCAGATTTATTCTTTTTATGATAAAGTAATAATTGTGTATAAATACCACATTTTCTTTACCCATTCATCTGTTGATGTGACAGGTTGCTTCCAAGCTTTAGCTGGTATGAATTGTGCTGCTGTTAATATGCATATGCATGGATCACTGTATGTGATGGTTTGTGTTTAGAGTCCCCTCGTGTAGTCACAGGCCTTGTGTAGGCATAGGTGGGTTTCAGCGGTGGCTGGATCTAGAGTGTATGATGCTGGGATTGATTCATGTGCAGTGCTAGGTTCAAGGGCACTAGGATGATGGTTGTGTGCCTGCCCTAAGTAGCCCAGACAAGATATAAGAATAGCAAAAGCTGCGATCGTCCCTTGTTGCTTGGCTCCCTTTTGTCCACCACAAGCTGTTTCTCCTCTGCAGTGCCACCCAGCTTTGTAGCCAGCTGATTATGGACTGAAATTTCTACAAACTGAGCTAAATAAACCTTTTTCCCTTTAACTTTGGGCATTGGGTATTTGTTTCAGCAATGAGAAGAGTAACTAAGACAGTATAATATGATGTCCTTAACTCTTTCTGGAAGGTACCTAAAAATGGAATTGCTGAGTTGAATGGAATTTATAGTTTTAGTTTTTTGAGGTACAGCCATAGTGGTTGCACTAGTTTACATTCCCACCAGCAATTAGAAGGGTTCCTTTCTTCCCTGCAGCCCTGCCAGCGTTTGTTATTATTTGATTTCTTGATGATGGCCATTCCTTCTGGATTAAGGTGGAATATCAACATTGTTTAAATTTGCATTTCTCTAATGCTGAACATTTTTCATGTGTTTATTGGTCATTTGTACGTTTTCTTCTGAGACTGTCCATTCATTTTAGTTACCTGTTGATGATCAGGTCTTTTATTTAGCAGATGGTGCTGGGAAAACTGACTATCCACATGCAAAAGATTGACTCTAAATCCATGACTCTCACCATGTACTAAAGTCAAAATGAATCAAAGATCTAAATGTTAAAAAAGAAACATTTAATCTGCTGAAAGATAAAATCATAAGAATAGGCAAAGACTTTCTGAACAGGATCCCAATTGCACAAGAAATAACATCAAGTATCAACAAATGGACTTTACCAAGTTAAAAAGCTTCTGCACAGCAAAGAAAACAGCCAGCAGGGTGAAGCGGTGGCCTACAGAAAGGGAGGGTTTTTACTACAGCCTCGCAGTCCCAGCACCGCGGGAGCAAGGCTTCCATCCTGGGGGTCTGGTCACAGTCTGTGCCCATGACCACTTGCTTGACTGCATTTCCATCAGGAATGGTAAAGTCACTGCAAGCTTCAGGGTTGTGTAACATGTAGAATGATTGTAGTGACTGTCAGCAGTCACCTCAGCCTGAATTTCCTAAAGTGACTCAGAGCTTCAGCGCTGCGGAGCCGGGTCAGCCGGATGGACCCGCTCAGGACCTCCAAATGGAGGAGCCAAGGTGGAAAAAGAAACTGGGGTTTTTAGAAATGCCTTTCTTGTAATGTCATTTTTGAGAGTCATCAGTTTCTATTTTTAATCTTTCTACAGCACTGGGAAGTGTTCAAAAATGTAACAGAAGTTTTCATCTTAGTTCCTGCCCTCCTTGGCCTCAAAGGCAACTTGGAAATGACGCTGGCATCCAGGTTATCCACTGCGGTGAGTTTCTCTCCTGGTGTGTTCTCTCTCGTCCTGTCATCTCTCCACTGGGGGGATGCAATGCAGGACACAGTGTTTCTCCTGTCGGATGTGTCTCTGACCTCAGGAGTTATGGCTGCTCTTACAGCCTGAAAACTCAGGCTTGTCTCACCTGAGAATGACAGGCCTGCTTTTGTCGTGAGAAGAAGTAATGTACTTGCCTCCTGAATGCCAGGGCATTCTAGCAATTATCAGTGTTTTGAATAAATCAGGTAATCGAGCTTCCTTGAGGTTCTATGGTCGGTTGATTGGTGTTTAAACTTTTGGTTATTGTAAAAGTACTATTTACTTATTTTAAAAATAAACAAAGCAAAAAAGATACAAAGAAGAATATCCAAAATTATCCCTTTTTCTGCTCCTAGACATAATCTCTATTCATATTTTGATACAGATTCTTCTGTATTTATACATGTGTGTAGGTGTATCAGTGTACATACATACTGTGTATTTTTGTTTATTTGAGACAGAGTCTTAATATAGTTCAGGCTGACTTTGAACTCACTGTGTAGCCTAGGCTGGCCTTGCACTTGTAGCAATCTTCCTGCCTCAGCCTCCTTAAAGATGGAATTACAGACGTGTGCTATCATGCCTGGCAAAACTGTGTGTTTTAAAAAAGAACCAGAATCCTATGTATTCTACACTCTGCCATCTCCATTCAAAATACATCACAAAAACCTTTCCATCTGAGTAGTGGAGATCTGTCATTATTTTTATTGACTTGTGTATTTTTATGTTGTACCCCTCTACCACAGTTTAATTCACCATAACTCTTGCTAGTATTCTGCTGTTATGCACAATAATGATGAATAATCTTATAAAGACATTTATTTCTTTAGGACAAATTCTAAGATTGTAAATTACTGTTTGGAAAAAAACCTACACTTGTGTTTTAGCTACAAATTGCCGAATTGTCATCCAGGAAGATTTTTTTCCAGTTTAACACTTTTTCGGTACCACCACCCGCAGGGTTCTGAGTTACCTTCAGAAGCCCAGGAGGACACCCTTGCCCCACTGTCTCACACTTTCTGGGTGCAGCTTTGTGAAGCCAGGTTACGACTGAAGAACATGGCTAGCAAGGGGCGCGTCAGGAGCACTGTTCACCCTGCCAGCCCCAGCAGGCAGCAGAGCTGTCAGGCAGCGACTGTGCTGCCTCCCACTGCAGAGATTCGTTTTTCCCTTAAAGAAGCCCAGCTCAGTCCACCATGAAGTAGAAAAGCATCTGTGTATGTAGAGGTAGCCGAGCACTGGGGCTGGATGTGGTGTTGATGGCAGGACTGTCCCAGGCCACCACGCAGTCCCTCAGCTTTCCTGAGTAAAGCAAAGGCTTGCTTCCAGAAGCGCTTTGGGTTTGTTCAGTTGAGGTGAAAGGCTTCAAGTCCACTGCTGACCTCTCTAACCCACTCCCTTATAAACGGGACTCAGGTAGCCACAGAGCATGGCCACGTAGCTGGCATTCATGAGCTCTTGCTGTGTGCCGGGCCTCGTGCCAACGTTTCACAGCATTCCCCCTGCAGCGTTGTAATTCCTGCTTGGGGAGGGAGAAACGGGGGCTTGGAAGGGCTGAGTGTCTGTTCCCAGTCAAGAGCTTTTCGAATGGGTGAAGTGCCATGCTGGTGGTTTCCCTGCCAGGGCAAGTGAGTTACAGATTATAAACCCAACAGATAGCTGAAGTGTAAACCTACCAGCCTCCTCAGCTAAGAAGGGTTGGCTGAGGTCTTCAACACCAAAGTATTTATACTTAAAGCTTCTAGGGTTCACTATTTCAGAAATATTATTTACAGAAATAGTCTTGTTCCTTTTTTTTTTTTTGTCTTTTTCCTTTTTATCGGTACCAGGGATCGAACTCACGACTGCCTGTTGCAAGGCAGGCGCTTATGCCGCTGAGCTAAATCCCCAGCCCCTTCTTGATGTGGTCAGTTGGTGGGCTGGAGATGATGTCCAGGAATTCTGGCCAGGCTGTTTGGGAGAGTCCAGACTCACAAAGAAGAATTACTCTGGTAAATTCATTTTAGCCTGGCATCTGTCGTGCAGTCACTGTGATTGCTGAATACTAAATGGGTTGGAGAGTGTGGCACTTCCTTGGCCTGGAGCAGGACAGTATAATATGAACCTGGAACATCTTGTCTTGCCAAAAAGCAAAGAAATGCTTCAAAAAGATACAGAGTAACATACTGGCCAGATCTTGGATAATTTGCATCTTAGAATCCATTACCCCCTGAAATAAAATAAGAATTTATTCATTCTGTAAGGCAGGCAGAGCCTCTGTCCATAATAATTCCAGGACCCAGAAGGCCAGTGAAGGGGATGAAGCAGAGGAGTGTGATTCATAGTGACTTAGAGTGGCTTTTCTTTTCATTTTGTTTGTTTGTTTGTTTGTTTTGAGACAAAGTCTTGCTCCATAGCCCAGGCTGGCCTTGAACTCCTTATCCTCCTGCCTGAGCCTCCTGAGCTCTGGGCTTACAGGCTGGGGTACCAGACCCAGCTCTAAGAGGCTGCTTTAGTTGCGTGAGCAGAGCATACGTCTGAGGAAGTGACGAGCAAGGCTGACTAAGAACAGTGCATTGGCCACATCAGACCGCGGGAAGAAAAAGCCTCTCAGTCACTGTCGGATTGAATCAGGACCGTGAGGTCACGTGAGGCATTCCAGAGCGATCTGCTTCAGCAAGTAAACATTCTTACAACGTGAATCTACAGAATTTAAGGTTATAAAACAAGCTAGGACACTTAAGCCTTCCACCTTGAACCGTGGGGGTCAGCAGGCAGGAGGAGAGGAGGGGCACGGACCTCAGGTGGGTGGTGCCCTGAGCCCACACGCTCCCCTCCCTGGCGGGGCCTCTGAGCAGACCCCAAGCACACCTGGAGCGCTGCTCATTCCAGATCCAGGAGCAAAACTGTGCTGGGAACCAAGGGAAACGCGTGGCCTAGGGGAGACTGGCTTGCTGCCAGACGACCCAAAAACAAGATGGGGAGCCACCAGGGTAGCATGGCCAGCGAGCGTAAAGTCACCCTGAGGGAACGGCTGCCAGACAGCGGGACGGGAAAGCGGTGCTCCCGGAGCCTGCCGAGTAACCGGGGAGGGCGGAACCCAGGGCCACAGGTGTTTCTCACGCGATGCGGGCTGTGGGACCCCTGTTGTCTTACCTTTGAGTAGATACTAAAAAGGGCAGTAAAAGCTGGCGTGAAGATGGGCATTCATTACTGTTCTGCCCTCTTGCCAGCTAGGTACATGTTTCTGTTATTACACTTGGGCATCAGAAGTTTAAGGCCAAATATATCCTCAAGTGATAATGTAAGATGATAAGTGCATTTTAAAACATTAAAATAAAAAATGTGAGGGAAACCATCTCAGCCTTTTCTGAAAACATTTAGCAAGTGTCATGGACGATTGACAAGCTTCTGTTCACGGGGTTATTTCAGTCAATTTGCATGGCTACTATAACAGATTCTTCAAACCTAGGGGAAAATTGGAGGCATCGCTTGCAGTTAGATGACAGGAAAGAAGTGTGATGATTTGGTGCCACCACATGTGCAGAGGGATCTGACTGATAAGGCTAGCCAAAAAGGAAACCATGATTGTCTAGTGAATTCATTCGAAAGTGTGGCATCACGGCTGTGATGTCTGGCAGCCACAGGATGAATTCAGTTCTGGGAATTTTGTTTCTTTAAAATATCTAGTAATGAAATTGTGGCAAAATATCTGACGTTTGGTTTATTGTATTTCTTTTCCTACCCTAGTAGTTTGTTGTGTAATGATGGTTAGTGACAGCTAAACACGACCTTGGCTTTAACAAGCAGAGACAAAGCTTCCATAGCTTTCTCATGCGTGGCTCTAATGGCAGTGAAGTTATGCACTTGGTCTATAGTGCCATCTTGTCTCACTTCGGTTTTTCTTAGAAGTGGCGGGGCACCTGGAGGGACTCAGTCCCCAGGTTTTTGCGGTACAAGAGAATAAGGAAGAGGTTCCAAAGATGGACGGGGCAGCAGTTGAGGAAGAAGGTGGTTATCAGAGTGGGAGTTCAAGATGGCTCTTGCTCCACTTGTTGGAATGTGAACTTTGTTCTGATAAATATAGTTACACATTTGGCATTTAAGCAACTTGATAACATTACCAGGAAAAGTGAAACTTTGGCCTGCTTACCTCAAGATAATACTTCCGAAAGCATTGTTAGTGAGCATCATCCGGCTTTTGGGTAGGGTCCAGATGTGGACTGAACGTGCCGATCCCTTTGGACATAGGCAGCAGTGTAAGGAGGTCCGTTAGAAAGGATATCCTGCAAGTAGCTGGGCATGGGGACGCACACCTGTGATCTCAGCCCTGAGAGGCTGGAGGGGTGGGCTCCAGCCTGGGCCACATGGTGAATTCAAGGCCAGTGAGAGTCTACCTTTAAAAACAATGAACAAGACAACTGCACATGAAATTTGTCATTTAATTCAGTCACATAATCACATTAAATCTAAAGAGGAAAATTCAATTTTCATCTTTTTTAACATTCTTGAGATGTCTATACAGACATCTTACTGGGTGTCTTCGTCAACTGCCTGGCTGAATGTGTTTTTGTGCTCTTGTTTAACAGAGGGGACTGCAAAGCTGATGGGCAGCCCAGGACACTGCAGAGGCTCCCCCGCACCACAGTGACCTGGCTGGGCCTTTCCCTGGGGAAGTTGGTGGTGGTGGGGTCCTTGTCTTCCGCAGGCTCGAGTCAGGCCTTGATAAGCCTTGATAAGCTACCAACTGAAGGGTAAGAAAGTGAGGCTTCCGGGCAGTTTGCAGTAGGAGTGGCCCGGGGGTATCAGGCACCGAGGTGGGGCTGTGCTTGATATGTCACCTGTGGCCAGCTGACTTGTTAGAGACGTACATTCCCAGGCCCGCTCCAGAGCTCCCAAGCCAGCGGTCTGTTTCAGTAAGCTGTCTGGTGATTCCGGTTTGCCGCCCACTGTCAGATGAATAGCTTTGGAGGCCA